TGTGAGGCCTGCAGGCAGTTAACGAGCCGTTGATCTTGTTGCTTGCAGGTTGATTGAAGCTCTGGATTTGGCGAAAGCCGTTCATCTGTACCAGCAGGCAGCAGGGGTGTTCGAGGTTCGTAGCGGCTCCACCAAACACCGCACGCATTAGGACCAGCTACAAACAAACATTCATGTCCTTTCTTGTTTTCTCAGAACGAGGAGCGGCTGCGACAAGCAGTGGAGCTCATCGGCAAAGCTTCCAGACTTCTTGTTAGACAACAGAAGTAATTGTTGCTTTATTCTTACTTGAATTTTCATTTTAATCAGTCATCTAGTTTATTAGTTTGTATTAAAAGCAACTTGTCATTTGTGACCCTAGAGCACAAAACCAGTCATAAGGGTCCATTTTTTTAAATTGTGATGTATGCATCATCTGAAAGCTGAATAAATAAGCTCTCCATTGATGTATGGTTTGTTAGGATCGGACAATATTTGGCTGAGATACAACTATTTGAAAATCTGGAATCTGAGGTTGCAAAAAAATCAAAATATTGAGAAAATCATCTTTAAAGTTGTCCAAATGAAGTTCTTAGCCATGCATATTACTAATCAAAAATTAAGTTTTGATATATTTACAGTAGGAAATTTACAAAATATCTTCATGGAACATGATCTTTACTTAATTTCCTAATGATTTTTGGCATAAAAGAAAAATGGATCATTTTGATCCATACAATGTATTGTTGGCTATTGCTACAAATATACCCCAGCGACTTAACACTGTATTTTTGGTCCAGGGTCACATTTAATATCAGTATAAAGCATGTTCTGAGTGAATTAGACTAGATTCTTAGCTGTAAATCCAGAATATCCAGCATTAGATGAGTGTATTGTTTTTGTGCGTGTTTTATTGTTGTACATGTGATGCGTTGATTCGACTTGATTTTGTACTAAAATGGAATTTGTATTTATTCTACACTTGGGCCTCTAACACTAATTCTATTTCTATTTTATCTACTTGTTTTATTTTATTAATTAAAAAAAAAAACATTTAACACTTGCACTCTTTATTCTCTGTTCTATATCTATTCTATCTACTTTTCTTTTATTTATTATAAAAAAAAAAACACCTTGCTATGTGTGCTGCGTTAGGCTTGTCATAGCACTTGCTCTCTTGTTGGTTCTGATTGCTTCTGTTGTTTGGATAAAAGCGTCTGCTAAATGACTGAATGTGAATGAGTTTAATACAAGATGAGTGATGCTGATTACAGGTTTGATGAAGCTGCCGTGTCCCTTCAGAAGGAGAAGAACATGTATAAAGAAATCGAGAATTATCCGACGTGTTTTAAGGTGCGTCAGTATTACTGAGCTGTAAAGCCTTTGCAGTCACCGGTGCATTACCACACATGACTGTGTCCTGTTTTTGTGCTCAGAAAACGATCGCACAAGTGCTGGTGCATCTGCACAGAAGAGACTATGTGGCGGCAGATAAGTGCGTGCGGGAGAGCTACAGTATCCCAGGATTCAGCGGGAGCGAGGACTGTGTGGCCATGGAGCAGCTTCTGCAGGGCTACGATGATCAGGATGAAGAGCAGGTGTCTCGCGTCTGCACTTCACCGCTGCTCAAATACATGGACAACGACGTGAGTCTCCCAGCATGCATCTCTCCGCATGTGGCATTTTCCATGACTAGAGTACAATGAATATAAATAGTGTAATGTACTTTTTTTTTTTTTCTTCTTTAGAGACAAACCTGTTATGCATTAGATCAAATATTAAAATAACCTCAAGGTGCCAAAGTTAATGCATTTTTTTAATAGAAAAAAAAAAAACATTTATTTTATTAAAGGGAAATAACTTGTAACCTATATTTAACCTAGTTAACCCTTTCTGAGAGGCTTCATTTAATGTAACTTAATTTGAGACGACATTAGCTGTTGTGTGTTTTATAAGGCAAGCCACTTCAGGTGAATATAGACTCAACATTGCAACTAATACATTTTCTCCAGCTGATTAATCACAACACATTAAGGCAATTGTTTTATATTGCCTGTTTTCTGAAAAGTAGTTTGAATATGCAAATGGAGCATTGTTTAATTATATATGCACTAATTTGCATACATTTCCAGAACAGAAATCTGAAGATTGGATAAAGTGGGGTTGATAATTCTAGTTTAATTTTCTTGATATATTAAAGGGTTATACAAAGGGATTTTGGATTTCTATTTTTATTACTCCATTAATCAGAAAATACTATAAACGGACAGAAAAAAAAATACATTCTCACCACTTTTTTTTTTTTTTTGGAATAAAGTGTTCTATAAATCAGAATATGTGATGTATAATATATGAACAACCCCTCCGTAAAACCCATATAAAATATTGATAAATAAAACTGGTGTAAGAGAAAAAAAAAAGAAATCTTCAGATGCAAATAGATAAAAGTGCAATCATTAAAACGCAGGCAAAATGATATATGAACAAATCCCTCTATAAAAACCTTAAGATATGCAAATGGAGCATTGTTTAATTATATATGCACTAATTTGCATACATTTCCAGAACAGAAATCTGAAGATTGGATAAAGTGGGGTTGATAATTCTAGTTTAATTTTCTTGATATATTAAAGGGTTATACAAAGGGATTTTGGATTTCTATTTTTATTACTCCATTAATCAGAAAATACTATAAACGGACAGAAAAAAAAATACATTCTCACCACTTTTTTTTTTTTTTTGGAATAAAGTGTTCTATAAATCAGAATATGTGATGTATAATATATGAACAACCCCTCCGTAAAACCCATATAAAATATTGATAAATAAAACTGGTGTAAGAGAAAAAAAAAAGAAATCTTCAGATGCAAATAGATAAAAGTGCAATCATAAAAACCGGCAAAATGATATATGAACAAATCCCTCTATAAAAACCTTAAGAATATAGATAGGAATAAAACGGTAAATGTAGGTATGTAAGTGTAGATTTCTGATTCATTTTGAGAAAACACCTTTAAAGGTATTTATTGAAACTGGAATCTGCAGAAGCAAATAGATAAAGTTCAATAAAATAAATGCTTCTGTATTTTGGATGATTTCTTTGCACTAGTCTGAAGGAAAACATGGAAGCAAAAGCTCACAATATTTGTGCCTGTAGTGTCTTGCCTTAAACGTGTGAACTTTATTTTTATTGAAAAAGAAAAAAAAATCACATAAACACAGGTTATTAAATTTGTATTATTATTAATTGCATTTTGTCAGTTTGTTGCATCTTAGCTGTCCGTCAGAGCACAGTTACCTTTAGTTTTTAGTTACTGTTTTTTTTTTGTCTTTCTAATCTTTTCATTATCTCCTATTTGTTTCACTCACCCTTTCAAGAGTTTGCCAGGTTTGTCATCAAAAGCATTTGCATATTACAGTAGTGTAGAGAAACTCTGTTGCACCTGGTCTCCAGTAGTTTATTTCCTTTCAGTCCCCCTATAACGTCAGTCTTAATTGATCATTTCAGCCCTTAGAAATAAACAGGTTGTTGTGCTTATGTATCCATAAGACATCAGTCTGAATGATCTCTTTCATATTTTCATATTAGCTAGTTAAGTCCACATGCTTTAGTCAAGTCATCAGGGCAGAGTGCATGCTGAACATACTGAACTGTTAATGAGCTCATGAAATCAATGCCATACCGATTTCATAACAACTCGCTGACAGAAACATTTGAGCACACTGTCGTCTCTCCTGTTCTCCAGTATGCAAAGCTTGCCCTCAGCCTGACAGTGCCTGGAGGAGGGAAGAAGAAAGCCGCCGCTTCTGCTGCTGCTGCTGGAGATTCAGGAGCCGCGCCGCCGGAGGAAGAGGAGGATGAGTACGCTGGAGGCCTCTGTTAAACCTCTACCAAACATATTCCACATCTGCAGCTTCAGACTCCTCCATGAAGGTGCATGCATGCTCCCTAAACATTAGATTCCTGTACTGGAGGGGTTTGTGTTTCAAGAAGCTTTCAGAGAAACCTCATCTGGAGAAGAAAAGCTTCTTTACGACACCCATGCTAGGCGTCACATGTAAGCAGCACGTTTATGCAACGTCATCCTCTCTTAAGTATGCATATTTATTTAGGTTTGCCTTCCAAAACTCATGTTAAAATGTACATTTGTTTTCTCAAGTGTTTTCAGGCAAACCCATATGGAAGCTTGTTTCTGCCATGTGATAAACTAAATAAAGATAATTAAGGTAGACTTTTTATCTCACCATTCAGCGCTTCTATATAAACGAAGAATTGCAAATGCAGAATTGAGACGTAATTTCAAAATTGTGAGATATAAATGCAGAATTGCGATAGACTTGCAATGCTGAGAAGAAAAGTTTGAAGCTTGTGGTATAAACTTGCAACTGCAAGAAAAAAACGTCTGAATTGTGCAATAGTCGCAATTGCCTTTGTTGTTTTTGTTTGTTTTGTTTTTGTATGTTCAGAGAATAGCAGAATTGCAAGATGTAGAATTCTGAAGGGGAAAAAGTCAGAATTGTGATTTAAACTCAGAATTCCATGAAAAACAGACTTCAAATAAAAACTAAAAGAGATTAGAATTGCGAGGGGGGAAAAAAGTCAAAATTGTGAGATTAAAAAAAAGTTGCAATTACCTTAATTTTTTTTATTGCATGGTGGAAACAAGCTTCAAAAACCCAAACCTGACAAACAGCTTTACGGTTCAATGGGACCTTCTGTGGGTGAATCAGGAGCTCAGTCTTTATATGTGCAGTATTTCAAACATTTTGAGTAGTGCTGGAATACTACACAAGTCATCGTTTTAAATTATACTATATTATACTACATATATTCTATATGTTGGAAATTAAATAACAGTGCCTGCCTTACCAAAAGAGGGAATGTATTTACTGTACACTGTGTTTGTAGCTTTAAGTTTAGTGGAATAAGTTTAAACCATATTAGTCTTGTCATATGGAACATCAGCATGAAATGCATGAAATGCCTTAAGATTATCTGAACATGAGAAACTCAATCTTTATTTTTTGTTTTAATGGAGAAAGGTGTGCTTTGAAATCGCAGGGAACAATTTCTGTTAATTCTGGATTTGCATGGTTTCACAACACCACTGAATAAAGAGAATCTGTGATTTTTGCATATTTTAGATCTGACTTTCTGTAGACTTTTGAATGCATACAAAATGGTCATTGAAATGCACGTAACGAAAACTAAAAGTGCAACAGGTAGACGGACAAATAAGACAATAGTTGGTTTCCAGCATGTGCTTTATGCTCATGATATTGATCCACAATCACACCGAGGTGTCAGCAACGTGACATCCTGAAGAGCGGATACTCTTCCTGAGAACCTTTCAGTCCTTCGTTCAAGCTAGGATAGATCATGATTTCAGTGTTACATAGTCTTAGAAACCCAAGCACTTCTGGGTCCAGTTTTCTTTGAAGAAAAAAGTGGCTAGTGTTCAGTCACCGTCTCCTTTCTTTGTTCAAGTTTACGGCCAGCTACCAGGACAGCATATTGCACAATGCGTGACTAACCAATCTCCCGACAGACAGGTGGCGCTAGAGCTCATTAAAGATCCCATTGGTCGTGGCAGCTTCTGAATCAGGGCTCTTTGGTACAGCTGTAGGTCTCGTTGTATTGGCAGTCGAACCTGTCCCGACGAGTTTGTCTCACAGTCTTAACGCCGCCTTCCTGCGAGAAGCAGCATCCTTCTTTGGGATCTTTGGGTTTTTAGGCAATCCCAGCAGGCTCATTTGGTCTTCTCCCTCGTCCACTTGATCATGGTCTCTGGCGAGCGGTAAAGGAAGATGAGTTTGGCGTACAGGTCCTCCTCCAGCTCCAGCTCGCCGGTTTCCCGCACGAGGAAGATGTCGGTGCAGAGTTTGAGGATGCGGTCGACGCACGGAAGCTCTTCGAACATGATGGAGTGCGAGATGCCGCTGAAGAACTCGCGGACGAATTTCCCGATCACCAGCACCACGGATGCGTAGAGGCCCATGATACTGCAAGAGACACAGCGAGGCGTTACTTACATCTGCAGCCGCGATTCAGAGCACAACATAAAATCAACAAGCAGCAATTCATTCACTCACCACCATGTCATCCAAGATGTTCATGTCTTTCTTTCTTTCTTCAGTCGGAAAGGAATTCAGTTTTTTTGAGGAAAACATTCCAGGATTTTTCTCCATATAGTGGACTTCAATGGTGGCCAGTGATTTTAAAGTCCAAAAATGCAGTTTCAAAGGGCTCTACACAATCCCAGCCGAGGAATAAGGGTCTTATCTAGCAAAACGATTGGTCATTTTCTTAAAAAAAAAAAAAATTTTATTTATACGTCTTTATTTGGTGATGTTGGAAAGGTCACGCGTGACGTAGGCGGAAGTACCGACTAAGTAAAAAGTAAAAAGTCATTGCCCTTTACAAAAAAGGTAAAAACAACGATGTCGGATGATTTTAAAGTTGGAGGAGTAAATGAGATGGAGTTTTTAACCAAGGTACAAAGATGAAGAACTAATGTGCGTGACCTTTCCAACATGATTACGTAATGTGTGAAGTGTGAAGACGCACATCGCAGAGCTAAAGCAAGCCCAACATTTGTGGTTAAAAAGTTATTATTTTTTTTTTCCCCAGAAAATGACCGATCGTTTGGCTAGATAAGACCCTTATTCCTCGGCTGGGATCGTGTAGAGCTCTTTGAAGCTGAATTGAAACTGAGCACCACTGAAGTCCACTATATGGAGAAAAAAACTGGAATGTTTTCCTCAAAAACCTTAATTTCTTTGCGACTGAAGAAAGAAAGACATGAACATCTTGGATGACATGCGGGTGAGTAGATTATCAGGTCATTTTTATTCTGGAAGTGAACTTATCTTTTAAACGACCAAGGCAAAATGAGGACCTAAGCATGGCAGGAAGCATCACACCAACAAACATGAGTAATTAAATACATTTTGAGATGATTTTAGTCAAAATGGTTGAAAACTCATAAAACACTAGTGATCTGATTTAATGGTTTATCATTTTGAACTAATTCATCTATCGACATGAAATCCATAAGTTTTTGCTGCCATGGACTCGAATTTGGTGAAAATTGGACAAATGGTGTAGGAGGAGTACGAAAAAGTAGGTTTTCATTGCCTTGGCAATATACCGGTCGACCACTAATAAACATGCATGAATGAGAAAATGCAATGCTGCTTGTTCAAAAGTCAAGCCGCAAAAAAACAATGCGCTGACTGAGGTGTATGGAGAAAGCCAACTGTCACACACGCTTGTGTAAAAATGTCTGTCTTGTCGAGTATTCACATAAAAACCGTAGGCTGCAAGTGAATGTAGACAGCTGTGCGATAGGTCTTAAAGTGACAGCAGCCTAATGATCCTGATGCTGTCTGTCATTAATGTTAATCAAACAACAAAAGACAGAGAAAATCACTCGCTGATCTCGACTGATTCACTTTAGTAGCTATAATGAGGATTAATCTGTATTTAAATTATACAGTGAAGACTATGCAATGCTTTATTTTACATTCGATTAATTTCTGTACTATTTTGTACCTTTCCTACCTATTGTTTGTCATTTGTGTGTTTGTTCTTACTTTTAATAACTATAATCATTGTTGTGTCTTATGAAAGTCTGACGCACGTTTTCTAAATGTTTTTTTCTGTAATGCATGACAACTGCACATCTTTATGCATTAAATAGTCAATGTGATGCAACCACAAAATCTGTCATTTTACAAAAATCAAAAATGAAAAAGTGAAACTGGTGATGATTGAACTATTTAACTGCGTGCTCAGAGATGTTTGGGCCGGTCTCCCGTGACTCACCCATAACCTGCCAGGAAGCCCAGGCTGGGAGGACTGACTTTATCACTGAAGACGTACAGCTGCAGTCCTGCCTCTCTCTTCTTCTCCAGCTTTGACTCGGATCTCATCTGGATCTTCCCTGCCGACGGCTGGTCCACAATCCACCACTCCTGAATGTCCTCCGTGCCGTTGTGAGACCTCTCCAAGTCCAGCTGGATGCTCTTATAACCCTCATCTGGCACAGAGGGATTGATGAGATGTGTGAGTTACAGCTGGCGTCAGTATTCATGGAGAAAGTCATCCTGATTCTGCATTACCTGTATAAAGCTGACCGACTGGTTTGGCATTTGAGTCACTCGGTGCTCGAATAAAGCAGGGAAACACTTGCTCTATGACCCTGTGAATGAGAAAATGGACCATAAATACAAGCATTGATGTAAGTATGAAATGCACGATTTATATGTTGAATTTGTACTTGCACAGGTTTATTTCTGGTTCCATTGAGTAACGCTATCAGCTCCTGTCTAGTGTTCATGTCCAGATATGTGATGTGTTTGTCCACTGCAAATTCAGCCTTTGCTCCCAAACTCAGATTCCTGCACAAGAGAGAAGTATTATGGGACATATTTAGTGTTTAATGATGAAACTGCAATGCACCGGAGAACTGCGCTAGAATAAATGACCACTACCATGATTTTTGGACATCATGGTATTCTTATATACACTAATGTAATCACTACTGTTCAAAAAGTAAGCTTTGTTTTTATTATTTTTAATTAATACTTTTATTGATCAAGGACGCATTAAATTGGTCAAAAGTGCCAGTAAAGACATTCAGTTTAACAGATATTCACATAGAAAACAGATATTTGAAATTGTAAAAACATTTCACAATTTTTACTGTATTTTTGATTAAATAAATGCAGCCTTGGTGAGCAGAAGAGACTTATTTTTGAATGGTATGTATCTGAATACTGTAATCATATTATATTTTGTATATATCTAAAAGTGAAAGGGCCAGTCCAGGGGTCTCATTTATGTATGTCATTAGTCCATATCTCATATTTCCTTAATGTTTTGGTGGTATGTTTCATGTCACGTGCATGGGAATAGGCATGCAAATGATATGCAAATGAGGTTATGCATAGTAAAACTAGGCGTTGTAAGCTCCATATATGGTGATTTCAGGGAGGAGTTGGGGTGGAGATGCACGCATGCACAATCTTCCCCTGACTGGGATTTATAAAGGGATTTTTGCACAGGTTCTGGCATGGCTTTATACATGCATACACAAAATCTAGGTTCTTGTACAGTTTTAGGATGAAATCTACGGAGAGTTTTATAAATGAGGCCCCAGGTGATGCACTGTATCTGTACCTCTGGATGCTCCAGGACATGGTGACAGGGAACTGGTCCTCTTTGCTCAAGACCTCCATCAGGTTCTTTCTGCTGGGAGGACTGATGGTCCAGAGAGAGTTCGAGCTTCCTTCCAGCTCTGCCACAGTCACGTCCTCCGCCGTATACGCCTCCAAGAACTGCAGTGCACTCTGGGAAACAGATTGAACTGCACTTGACACATTACACAACGACTAAAGAGCGGCGTTTCTAGAACAACATGCTTCTCCAAACCATCACACTGAGAGTGACTTACAGAATTGTGTCTGTATGAATTCATGAAGCTGATGAAATCTCTGTCAGTGATGTCCTTCAGCTGATTCTGCTGCGCACTCATAGTGAAGATGGGCTAGAAAGCACACACAACACACAGACATATGTGACCCTGGAGCACAAAAGCAGTCATAAGCAGCACAGGTATATTTGTAGCAATAGCCAATAACACACTGTATGGGTCAAAATTATTGATTTTTCTTTTATGCCAAAAATCATTAGGATATTAAATAAAGATCATGTTCCATGTAGATATTTTGTAAATTTTCTACTGTAAATATATCAAAACTAAATTTTTGATTAAGTTATATGCATTGCTAAGAACTTAATTTGGACAACTTTAAAGGCAGTTTTTTTGCACCCTCAGATTCCAGATTTTCAAATAGTTGTATCTCAAATATTATCCTATCCTAACAAACCATACATCAATAAATTCAGAATATAGAATGGCCATGTAAATATATTTGCAAACCATGCTTCTGAATTTGGGTGAATATAGCACTTCTCAAGTTATCAGACCATGTATAAAACAAATAAATGAGCAAGTTACTAAACACTGGTGATACATTATACAGCTGTGAAACACTATGTCATTAAACCTGGATTCTGGAAGTCTGGACAAAAATAATTCAGATGTAGAAGACTTTGCTGTTTTCATGTTTACTGATGTTTGTTCATGTAACGCAGGAATTGTAGAAATGCAGATCAAATATTTACTTGAAATATCTCAAGTTCATGTTTCAAGAACTGAACAACACATTTGTCGATTAATGGTCACATTTACATGCAGGTATATATATATATATATATATATAATATTTCTATTTTTAGTGTTCAAGTGCTAAAATCCTTTATTTTTATTTTGTGTAATGTAGTGTAATATTTAATGCATTTTATGATGTTGATACAATGTATGTATATACTGTATATATATATATATATATATGATACAATATATTTTCTTTCTCTTTGCTTTTATTATATTAATATGGTATGTTTAATTGTAAGTTTAAAACAAGTTGGATAAAAAGTGATCTAAAAAGAATACACTACCTAAAATGAGTAACCTCGATTGCATTACTACGTAATCTCATGTAATCTGTAATTAGTAATGGACTACAATTTGTAAGTAATCCACCCAGCACTGTTTTTGTATATATTGTATTATTAATATGATCATTATCATTATTATTATTCATAGCGTGTCTATATAGTTTTTATTACATTTTAGATATTGTAACACTTCAACTTAAACTACAGGAAAATGAGCCTTTGCAACTAGCTGACAAAATACGTTTAAGGTTTTTAAAGATTGTTTACGCTACAGAATACAAATAAGGCAATTGCTTTAAATTACTTTTTTTAACAATTTGGGTTTATATCTCAAAAAAGTCAGAAGTGTGAGATTTAAACTCAGAACTGTGAGATAGAAATTTTGAAATTAATTCTAAGAAAAATGTCCAAACTATCAGATAAAAATGGCATGTTTCATTTGTTATTACATGGCGAAAACAAAAATAAACAGAATTGCGAGATGTAAATCAGAATTCAGATTAAAAAGTCAGAATCTCAATTCTGAAACATTCAAAATTGTGAGAGCAAAGTTGTGATTACTTTTTTTTATTTTTTATTATTCTGTGGCGGAAATGGACTTCCATAATTTAAAGTAATGACTTTTTGTTGTTGTTGTTGTAATTTTCCCCCTGATTTGAGTGGACGTCTGGCAGACTCGTCTCTATGAGCAGCAGCTTCTCACACACCTGAAAGCCGCCCAGTGTGATGGTGACAGACACGTCCAGCGGTTTGTTGACCACTCCAGCCACAGATTTGACCAGAGACATGAAAAGCAGAGGAAACCAGACGATACAGATGAGCAGCATCACGATCATCCCCCCCATCCCGTACTTCACCACCTTCTTCTTCTTCTGTCCTCGAGGCTGAGGATACCTCTGAGAACACACAAACACACCACCGTGAATCCTGCTTCTGAGTGCTGCTTTGACAAACACTGGCTGGACGTCATCTCACTTTCTCCGACTCCCTCCAGCACTTGAGCACAAAGATGTGAGCGTAGATGTCCTCCACACAGATCCAGCTGGACAGACTGAGCGTGGTGTCGGTCCAAACCCAGTCCATCACCGCCCGCAGCTCCGTCAGGAACGGCACCAACCGGAACCTGAGCACCATTCAGAAAGATGAGACTCGGTCACGACTCGAGCGCTTCTGACGCACCAGAAACAAAGTATGGTATGCACTAAATGTATTATACACATTATGGACCACAAAACCAGTCATAAGGGTCAATTTTGCGAAATTGAGATGTATGCATCATCTGAAAGCTGAATAAATAAGCTTTCCATTGATGTATGGTTTGTTAGGATCGGACAATATTTGGTCGAGATACAACCCCCAGCGACTTAAGACTGCTTTTGTGCTCCAGGGTCACTTATGTGCTTTTAAGCAGAACAAATCTAGGCATTCTTTGGCATAAAGTAATAAGAGGCTGGCATTACCGTGATGACGATAAAGGGTTAGTAAACGTGATATGAAGCAGTGCCTAAAACCCTCTTAACCGTGGTAAAATCACTGTTAACGCATGGCCTTAGCTGGCCTATGACTTTTATGAACAAAAACATCAGGGATATTAAAAAGATAGAAACAGGGCTCCACAATAAATCATTTTAATCGTGATCATGATTTCGGAGAATTCGAATCTAAAAAAAAAAAAATAGATAAACAAATAAATAAAATGACAATAATCTTGATTACCAAACATGATTTTATGACAAATATTGTCATGACATGACAAATAATCGTCAATAACTGTTTAATCATTATCATGTAGAAATGTTCAGTGAATGTCATTAAAAAATTAGCCTAACTATAGAATTTTTAGCATTTTATATATACAGGTTTTTGAAAGAAAGACGTCCCTTCTGCTCACTAAGGCTGCATTTATTTGATCAAAAATACATTAAAAATAGTCAAATATTTTTATAATGTAAAATAACTGTTTTCTATGTGAATATCTGTTAAACTGTAATGTATTTCTGTGATGCGCAGCTGTATTTTCAGCATCATTACTCCAGTCTTCAGTGTCACATGATCTTCAGAAATCATTCTAATATGCTGATTTGCTGCTCAACAAACATTTCTGATTATTATCAATGTTGAACACAGTTGTGCTGCACAATATTTTTGTCAGGATTCACAGATAATAGAAAGTTCAAAAGAACAGCATTTTTATTTTTTTTTTAAATAGAAACCTTTTGTAACATTATAAATGTCTTTACTGTCACTTTTGATCAATTTAATGTGTCCTTGATGAATAAAAGCATTATAATACTCACTCCAAATGTTGTATATGTAGCATTATTTGTGGTCATGCACATGAAGAATGACTTTAATATGTTGTAAATCTCAGGATCAGAGTCTCTGAGGCTGAACACACTGTAATGTGGCTGTGTTTCTTACCCTTGGAAGAGGAAGAGATTGAGGTAATTATAGCTCTTGGTCAGGAAGTTTCCCAGCACGCGAGTGGGGTAACCGCAGCGGATCTGATAGGCTGACAGACCGAAGTAGATGCACTTCACAAAGTACCAGAGCTGGGCAACTGTGTTCTGACTGAAACGCCTAGAAATCAAATCCAGTCTCACGTTAGATGACCTCGAGCTTCTTAAACGGGTTCAATAATGATATCATTCGTCATTTACCTCTCGGTGACTCCTGGGAGAATGAAGAACATCCAGAAGTGAATGCCGAAGACCAGGATGACCTGGAAGATGACCTTCCCCATCACGGTCTTCCTCAGGTACAGCGCACGGTCCACCACCATCGTCCCAAACTGGATGAGCACCATCACCAGGAAGGCCTCGGGAACCTGATCCTCTGACAGAGAGGAAGTGATGTCAGCCGCAGCAGAGTGTTTCTGTGGAGAAACCAGTTTCACTTCAGTTTTACTGCACTTACATGGTTTAATAATCGCATTGTTCTTAAAGTTGGCATGTAATGGATCTTATCGTGAATGATTCATCCATGCATAGGTTTCATGTTTTTAATATTTTGAGCTCAGCTCATGATCACTTGTCCAATCATTTAGTCTGATGGACAGAACAAAGTTCCTGCCCTACATTGTTTTCCTTTTCTAATAATCCATTACACTTTGATGTCACAACATGGAATTAAAAAATCTGCTGCTACTTCTGTTTCATGACAAATGCAACTGCTTTTTCAATCTGGATATTTTATATGAAAGGAATATTTCACCCAAAAATGATAATTAGCTGAAAATGTGCTCACTCTCAGGCTATCCGAGATGTAGATGGGTTTGTTTCTTCATCAATGAAATGTAGCATTGCATCAGTGTCTCAGCAAGCGACATTTCTCCAAACCTGATGAAGAAACAAACTCATCCTAATCTCGGATGGCCTGAGGGTGAGTAGATTATCAGCAAACTTTCATTTTTGGGTGAACTATTCCTTTAAGCTATCATGTATTTGAGCAGGTGAAGCTCTACAAACCCCGAAAGCCCAAAATCCGAAAACGATGATGATGAAGTCGACCGTGTCGGCCAGAAACATGAGCACGTAGACGTCGGTCACGGCGCTGTACTCCGGGTGGATCAGGTTATAGAAGAACTGCCGAATGGGAATGTAGATATCCAGAATCCTGAAACAACACAAACCCAGCAGATCGAACAATATACAAAAATAATATGATGATGTAACTTCCTTTTCAAATAAATGAGTGAGGCGAGCGGGAGCCTCACGTTCTGACAGTGAATCGCTTTGCTTTGATCAGCTGTTCTCTGAGCTTCTCTATAATGAGCTGCTTGCGGCTCTTCTGTTGAGCGCTCAGTGAACTCGTCCTCGTGCCGCTGCTGCCTGCGGAGACACACATCCAGAACCGAGATCAGGCATCAACGCTGCATTTGAGACCAAAAATAGATGTGCACAAACTATGAAACCTATTTAAGAAGCAACATGTGTGGAAAGTCCCTGCTGGTATTTAAAATGTCTTAAATTGTGCCACAAACATCTTAATCACCATTCTTAAATTTAAGAGAAAAAGCAAGAATCATAATACAGCCAAATGTGATTAGTAACTTCAGGCTCTGATTTCATGAAATAAACGTGAGCGCTGAATATTCAACATCAAATCGCAGTCGTGCATAACAACACCCCTTAGCTGTTATAAATTCACTGTAAACCACGGCTTCACGGGGCTTATTGCTTTTATAAAACGGTTATTCCATATACGTAGTAAGGTTTCACAAAATAAAACAGAGCAAATAAAGTGTAATGATATTAATAAAAACAGTCTTCTTCCACCAAACAATGTAGCTCCTCAGAAACAGTTGTGGTTGCAACAAAGTGGTTGCCGAGCAACACACAAACGTAAACAAAGGTGTATGTTTGTAGAGTAATTTACAACAGCTTCGAACGTGGCTCAGCCAATCAGAATCAAGCACCGGAACTATCTGTTTTACAATGAGTGTTTTACAGGCTTGCCGTTTCAATCAATGAATGCAATGCATTTATTCCATTTATGCTTATGATCAACTGTTGATGAATGATGACAGTGTTTACTTTATGGTGTTTATATTATAAGATTTCTGTATTTTATCTCCCTCGTCTTTCTGAATGAGCAGCCAGCAAGAGTAAAGCATAGAATTTCAAAATAAGAGTCAGACTTGTTTGTATTTAAAAAATCTTTTGGAAAAACCCTTGATGACATTTTTATTGTTCCCTAAAGTTTTTTTTTTTTTAAGCCTGTAAAGTCCTGAAGATGCATTTATTGTTGTTCAGCAAATTTCACAGCCAAAATCCAGTGGTTTCAATAGAAATCCAAGCGATCTGGCATTTCGTGTAAGGGTGAAATATTTCCCCGCACAGATTTCGCATCAGATTCAGCTGCTCACGCAAATTTGTGATTGTTTTGTTGTTTTTTTTTTAATGATTTTTTTTTAGCAACTGACAAATAGCAACTTCTACCCATTAAAAATGAAAAATTTAGAGCTTGACATAAATAGAAAAATATATATATTTTTAAAATTTACATGGCTTTCTAAGATTTTAGTAATTATAATCATAAATAATATGAGTAAATAATAATCTAAAATAAATGAATTTAGGGGAAGCAAATTAAAATAAGAAATATGTCAGTTTACAGCAGTTTTAGCTTATTTTAAAGCTAGTTTTGTCTTATTTTAAATCATTTTAAGTCATCTTGAGGCTCAATTGGAAGTTTCTGGTTAGGAACCACTGCAATTAGACCTATTGGCCCACCAAATTTTGCAAATGTAAGTGTGCATGCAGACATCTGAGCATAAAGCAGAAGCACACCTGCTTTAGATGGGTGCGAGCGCTGCGAGACGCTGGAGCTCTGCCGGCGGACCGCGGAGCTGCTGTGGAGGGGTTTTCTGGGTGAGGCGTCAGCGGGGCTCTTCTCTGAATCAGTGTGCTGAGAGATCTGACCTCCTGACCTAGGCTCATCTTCATCCCACAGACCGTAGCACTGAGGAAGAAGAGCACTCTCACGATTCCTGTTCACTTCAGACACGTGACACACATGAAAGAGCGGCTCTCTACCTTCAGGATGGAGCGGTGGAAGAAGAGCGCCAGGAGCTGGATCAGGTCGTAGTGGACGTAGCCCTCTTTCTTCTCCACACCGATGATGTTGGGAGGGTGGAAGGGCTTGGATTTGTCCAGCTTTATGCTCTGGTTAAACGGAAAGAAGCCGAACTGGAAGAAGTACTTGATCACTATGGTGACCTGCAGGCAGAAAATAAGAAAAAGATTACTTTGAGAAAAAAAAATGCAACATGTTGCACTAAAGCAGGTTAACTACAGGTTATGTGACATTTGATTAGGATTAACCCCTATAGGGTATTTGTATGTGGTCAACTGGTCTGTGTTGATTAACTAGGTACTCACTAATCAACTTCTTTTCTTTTTTTTATGATCAACTTTTTATAAACAAAAATAACATAATTGGAACAAACAATCAAGGAAGAAGGAATAACAGACACACTGCCAATAATTTGACAGTCAAACAAGAAAGAATAAACAAATAAATACACTCACAAGTCACTATATTAAGGAGCCTATGAATCCAATATGTGTTTTGCACACACGTGCAGCGTAAAAACCAACTTCTTTTCTAAAGAAAACCCTTGTTCTGTGCTAAGAATCTGGTGTTCCTTGTCAAAAATGACTGGCAATTTTAAAAATTAATCTCCCGTTATGCTGTATTATCCCAGAATCTTGGAATTCATCTACTTGTAAACTTGCTTTCTTTCAGTTAGCACAGGTTTTGTGTTTCTGAGGTTTAGCTGATTGATCGTAGGCCTCATTGATCGGAGCTTATGCATCAGTTTTTGAGTGAAAAAAGCATTATTTGTGGATAATTGTAATATTTACTCAAAAAACTGAGGTTTAAGCTCAGATCAAATGAGGCCTACGATCAATCAGCTCCAAAAAGACACACTAAACCTGTGTTAATTGAAAGACAACAAGCTGATAAAAAGATTGAATCCAAGATTCAGTAATAATATATCATAAAGAAAAATGTATAAGCTATTTCTGTAGGTCGTTCATCTCTGACTGAGAACCCTACAAGTGTATAACAAGGTGAGGAAAAAACCTAAAAAAATGCAAAAATGATTTATTTTTGGGAAGTTGTTAAACCCTGTGTGAGCAATGCCAGTAAGTTTCAGTCCAATGCGAGAAAATTAACTAGCATTTTCATGAAAAAGAAAATCCTCTCCAAAAACACAATATGAGAATTTGGCAACACTTTACAGTAAGGTTTCACTTGTTCACATTAGTTAACATCAACGATAAAACAATACTTCTAAAGCATTTATTAAACTTGTTAATTTCAGCATTTACTAATACATGATTAAAATCAAAAACTGTCTTTGTAAATATTATTTAATGGATCTGAGCTGACATGAACTAACAGCTGTGCTTTTATTAACTGACATAATAAGGATTAGTAAATGCATTGCTCGTTGTTAATTAATGTTAGATAATGCATGAACTAATGCGACCTTGTTGTAATCCAAAACCTGGTTAGACTTTATTTTAAGGTGTCCTTGTTACAAGTACTGAGTAATATTAATTAACAACATGCACTTACTGTAGTGTTTGTAATTCTGCATAATGTATTGTTATTACTATAGCAAGTGCATTAACACAAGGACACTGTAAATGAGTTTACTCATTGAGACGCCTCACTATCATGCGGTCTGAGAGAGGACTATCAGAGCGGCGATACCTCCGTGTAGACGATGGCCGTCATCCAGAAGCGTTTGCTGGGCCGGGGAACCGACAGCATGGCCCAGAGGAAGATGAGGATGGGCAGCACCAGCGTGGCCACCGATGCGGAGATCACGTGGTTGAGGATGATGACCAGATAACACACCATCTGAGAGTGAGCCACCAGCATGCTGTAGAGAGCGTAGCAGAGCTGGAGGAGCTGCGGCTGAGAGCGGTAGAAATGCTCCGACGCCTCCAGCTCCTCGTCGTAGAACATCCTGACGGAGAACAACATCAGATGGGATTTCAGTGTGCACTCACTGTATAAAACAGACACAATCAGTTATAATGCACTTTTGAAGTGTGCTTTCACATACAGGGAGACTGGTCACACTTTTAAAATTTCTAATATCGTTTTTTTTTTATATTTCTAACTTAATGTTTTTATTTATTTATTTATTTATTATTTATTTAGTTATGTATTTGTTTATAATTTAATTTAATTTAATTTAATTTATCATTAATTTAAAATTAAAAAAATTTTCATAAAAGACTATAATGAAGTCTTGGCCACAAAAGGCTTCTGAACATTTTCACTGTTATTGCCCTGGAAATATTTATCACGTTTATTTTGTTGTCACAATGGGAACCATATGCCATCCACATGACATAAATAGACTTGTTTTAAGAACATAATTTAAAATAATTTAACCAATTGGACCTTAAAATATTATAGTTGCTGTTAAAGATTTATTTATTATAATTTTAAGCATTGATGGAAATACTAATGCATAATGTGTTGCAACACATGAATGAAATGTTATATGATTGTATTTTAACATACTGTTCACAGGTTTGGGGTCAGTAATTTAAAAAAAATACTTTTATTCAGTGAGGACACATTAAATCGAACAAAAGTAACAGTAAAACATTTATAATGTTATTTCTATTTCAAATAAATGCTGTTCTTCTGAACTTTCTATTCATCTGTGAATCCTGAAAAATAAAATGTATGATGGTTTCCACAAAAATATTGTGCAGCACAACTGTTTTCAACATTGATAATAATCAGAAATGTTTGTTGAGCAGCAAATCAGCATATTAGAATGATTTCTGAAGATCATGTGACACTGAAGACTGGAGTAATGATGCTGAAAATACAGCTGCGCATCACAGAAATACATTACAGTTTAACACATATTTACATAGAAAACAGCTGTTTTACGCTGAAATAATATTTCACTGTTTTACTGTATTTGTGATCATATAAATGCAGTCTTGGTGAGCAGAAGAGACTTCTTTCAAAAACATTTTAAAATCCAATCCAATCCAAAACTACTGAATGATAATGCTTTTGAAAAGAAGAATAAAACTCTTTTGTAGACACAGTCTAGAAGTCTCTCACACAGTTTACTTGTGGTCACATAGCCCTTAAAACTGTCTCATTGTGTCATTTGTACGATATTTTCCTGATTTTGTAACCTGCATTTGTACTCTCAATTGTATGTACCCTGGCATTGATTGTGTATGTTCTTAGCAATGCAATAAAAAAAAGAAAAAAAGAAAAAAAATACTTGTGGTCACATGACGTGTGGTCACCTGCTCTGCAGCAGCTCGCTGGCTGTCAGCTGAGTGTCGGCGCTCTTCTCATCATCAGGTGTTTGGATCCTCAGCCTGCTGCCCTCGGTGCGTCCCGCTGAGTCCAGGCCCGTGGCTTTGCTGTACGAGGGAGGCGGCAGGTCTGAGGTGCTGCTCCAGAGTTTGTCTGGATGCTCTGGAAGGTCTGCCTCCTCGACGGTGTCGCTGGTGCCCTGCTGCGAGGACAGCTCACTGCCAGAGGAACACACACAATACAGGTGAGCTTGTGATTCATGCAAATAACCACAAGAGGGAAGCACCATCCCACGTTACCTGTGTGACCTGAAGGTGTTCAGAATGGACCACTAGCATAAAACACTGCATACTGCCCAGGTCCCTTATTTAGTCATTTCCACATTTTTATTTAGTAGTTTAGTAGTTAGTTTAGTAGTTTAGTATTATATATATATATATATGTATGTGTGTCTGTGTGTGTGTGTGTGTGTGCGTGCGTGCGTGCGTGTGTGTGTGTTAACGCTCAGGACAGATTGGTTTACACAGGTAATGACAGAAAGCCCCGGAGCTGTAAGTACACAGAAACACACGGCCAGTCTGAAGCAGGGCTCATACCTCGACGACTGCAGGTCTACACTAGGCAGGCGGCAGAGTCTGGGTCGAGAGCGCTGGCTGCTTTTGAGAACGCTGTCGCTGGTCTCCTCAGGCTGGTCCAGAGTGGACTCATACAGCACAGTGGATTCTGTGTACACACTACAGAAAACACACAGACAAGAACCAGATTCAGGATTCACTTACAATAAATAACATGTCATTGGCACGTTTTGTTGAATGTGGCACCTTTCAGATGTCATGCAAACAATATGGTATAGGAATATGGTAATAATTGCCTGAGATGGTATTTTAAAGTGCAAAATCTGAGAAAAGAATTACTATGGTTTTCTTTGGGAATGGTATATGAATATAGCAATCAATTAGTACCACAGTATTACAAGAAATGTTATGGAAATATTATGATTTTACTAAGAAACCATGGTTTTATTTGAAGTGTAAACAGATTTGATCACAGCAATAAATTGCACTTTACTATATATTCATATAGAAAACAGTTATTTTATATTGTAATAATTATTACAATATTAAAATAATATTTTTTTTAATTAACAGAGGAATCTGATGATTTGGTGTCGGTGAGTCGGTGAGACTGAAGGGTGTTGTTGAAATCAGGTGCACTGAATCCTTGGCAAACACCTTATCTCAGTGTGCGCCTTACACTGGATGTAGCGAGAGTCAAAATAAGTAAGTCGTCCTGCAAAATAACAGGCTGCTACACTGAACTAAGCTGCTCCTTTGATGAGAAAAGTGTCTGATTTATAGTTCACAGTCACTAAACAAGCTGATATTCAAAGGAAAGTGCTGCTCAGGTCATACTTTTATACACCAGGTTTTTTTACTAGTAGACAACTAGTCCTGACTTGGTCTTGTGCAGACCCTCACTGTTTTAAAAATCCTCTTCAAGCTACTTTGAGCTCTTATATAGACTCCCGCATTAGGGCTGGGTATCAAGGATCAGCTCCATTTTAGAACTGGTTACGAATTTCCAAGAACTGCAGATTCGATAAGACATGCACATTTCAATTCCGCTTATCGGGCACATTTTAAAGTGCAAGAAGATGCAAAAGAGAACTCAATTCAGGACCCATACAGTTTTCACATCCACAGCATGAACACAGAAAGCTGCCTCTTGTATATTGCACGAATACTGAGTTGAGTTCTCTTTCACGTGAAGAGACAAATACACACAAAATGATGTCAAAATATCCTCATAAACACAGTCGATCTTGAGTGAAAGTAAACAGTTGAGGAAAAACAAACGCGTGTGTCAGTATATTGGACCGATGCATTAGGTCTTAAAGTGACAGCAGCCTAATATTCCTGCTGTTGTCTGTGCCATTAATGTTAATCAAAGAACAAAAGAAAAATAAAATCACTCACTGATCTGTTGTCACGTTAATAAGGATTAATCTATATTTTATTTATAAAAAGAAAACTATATAGTGTCATTTTACATTTCATTACATTTAATTTCAATTTCTGTACCTGAATTTATTTATGCTATTTTTATTACTGACTGTTCACTTGTCTTTAATAAAGTTTGGCATCTATATTTGGTTTTCTAGTTGTGGTATATTTGGTATAAACCATATGAAAAAATCTCTTTGTGTAAGTGTTGTTTAGGCTGCTGATTTTTGTTCATGGCATTCATCTGCAATAGAATGCTTTGCAAAAAAGACAAAGAATATATATGATTCATATCTAAAAATCGGACTTCTTTTTTTGCACTTTATTGGAAACGAAAATGGGAATCATTAAGAATCTGAATAAATAAGATTCAAACAATACCCAACCCTACAACTGAGCCTTTACTAAACACAACCTCTGTCATACTTCAGCTCCCAATTTCTGCAGACAGCTTTAACGGAAGACCTTTCTCCTGGTTAAGAAAACAAAAGAGTGCTTTTCTTGGAGGTAAATCAACCCTGAGATAAGTGGGACTTTCTGGATTAGTCATTGAGTAGACATTGAGAGTATCTGTCTGGAGGCATGAAACAATATTATTTAAACTTTATAAAGCTGAAAGTAACAATTCAATTACATGTGCATACATTAGATTTTCTTTCCATCCATTTTCCATGTCTCAAATAGGGTTGTGTATCGAAAACCGGTTCCATTTTAGAACCGGTTCCAAATTTCCAAGAACCGGGTATTAGATAAGACGCATGCATTTCGATTCTGCTTAACGATTCCTGCGTTCGCATTGTAATGTGATTTATAACGATTTAAGTGCAGGAATGGAAAGAACTTGCGCCTTGTTTGCGTGCATCTCACTGCAGAAAAGGCTGTTCTGGGCTGGAACTGACTTCTTTCGTATTTATCGACCAGTATGCAAGAATCTACGTCAGTATATCATCATAAACACAGCTTTTTTTGACTTAAGTGAACGTAAACAGATGAGAAAGATGAGAACACACGTGTACAGTGTTTTTAGATCTGCGTGCGTTCGGTGTTAAAGAGACAGCAGCCTAATAAACTCGCTGCCTGTCATTAATGTTAATCAAAGAACAAAAGAAAATCATTCACTGATCTTGACTGAATATATTTCTGTCATGACAACTCTCGGAGGGACTGGCATGGTAATGTACATGACACTGTTAATGTATTTGGTCTTGGTGGAATAGATCTGCTACGCTGCTGCTGCTGCTGGCAACACATCCACAACATGCTGCTGTGAACGTGTAAGAAATACTGCTGCTGCAAATATAACATACATGAAATAACCCCCATATAGCATACATG